GTGAGTGAATGGGTGAGTGAGTGGGTGAGTGGGTGAGTGAGTGGGTGAGTGAGTGAGTGAGTGGGTGAGTGAGTGAGTGAATGGGTGAGTGGGTGAGTGAGTGGGTGAGTGAATGGGTGAGTGTGTGAGTGGGTGAGTGAGTGAGCGGGTGAGTGGGTGAGTGGGTGAGTGGGTGAGTGAATGGGTGAGTGAGTGGGTGAGTGGGTGAGTGAGTGGGTGAGTGGGTGAGTGAGTGGGTGAGTGAGTGAGTGGGTGAGTGAGTGAGCGGGTGAGTGGGTGAGTGGGTGAGTGAGTGGGTGAGTGAGTGAGTGGGTGAGTGAGTGAGCGGGTGAGTGGGTGAGTGGGTGAGTGAGTGGGTGAGTGAGTGGGTGAGTGAGTGGGTGAGTGAGTGGGTGAGTGGGTGAGTGAGTGGGTGAGTGGGTGAGTGAGTGGGTGAGTGGGTGGATGAGTGAGTGAGTGGGTGAGTGAGTGGGTGAGTGAGTGGGTGAGTGGGTGGGTGAGTGGGTGAGTGAGTGGGTGAGTGGGTGGATGAGTGAGTGAGTGGGTGAGTGAGTGGGTGAGTGAGTGGGTGAGTGGGTGGGTGAGTGGGTGAGTGAGTGGGTGAGTGGGTGGATGAGTGAGTGAGTGGGTGAGTGAGTGGGTGAGTGAGTGGGTGAGTGTGTAGATGAGTGAATGGGTGAGTGGGTGAGTGGGTGAATGAGTAAACAATGCAACGGAGATGCTGATCTGCTCAACAATAAAAAAAACAGTCACGACTCCCAAAAATCCACGGCAGGACCATCCTGGATTCGTTAATCAACAATCACAATACTCATATTCTTGGTTCTTACCGCAAAGTCACGTAGAAGGGAAACAATAACATAATAATATATTTTTATTAATGGGTATCTATGGGTACTTATGGATCGCTATGGGTCTCTATGGGTCACTATGGGTCTCTATGGGTCTCTGTGGGTCACTATGGGCCTCTATGGATCTCTGTTATCTCTATCGGTATGTATGGATATCTATGGATCTCTATTGATTGATATTGGTATCTATGGATCTCTATGGTTTGTATGGATCTCTATAGGTATCTATGGGCCTCTATATATTTTTTTAAATTATTGTATTGTTTCTCTTCTGTGTGGTGACTTTACCGAAAGAACCAAGAATATGAATCCCTGCAGTCACGAAAGCTTTAAATCAAAATACAAATACTTCATAATGAAAGTGTTTTGGGTTAGATCGCGTTATTTATAAATGTGTCGTAACCCTCCACCACCCGACACGGCCAAACAGTAAAACAAGTGTCACGTTTACAAAAGACAAATAGTTCACTACTTTAGCCGACCGGTGTATTGAAGCGTGATTTAACATCATTTATAATGATGTTAAATAATTTACAATGATGTTAAATCACTGTCTTTTGTAAACGTGACACATTTTTTAAAACTATATTCTTGGTTCTTTCGGTAAAGTCACCACGTAGAAGGGAAACAATAAAATAATAAAAATATAAAACAATAAAATTCTCACGACGTTTCGACTGCAACACGAGCAGTCATCATCAGGTGTGAAAACCACAGCAAGAAATTTTGATTTTTTAATTATTATTTTATTGTTTCCCTTCTACGTGGTGGTGACGTTACCGAAAAAACCAAGAATATGAATCCCTGCAGTCACGAAAGCTTTAAATCAACATTTTAAAAAAATCACAATACTCCTTGTTTTTTCTGGTAAAGCCACGTTGGTATAAACTAAAATAAAATAATAAAAATAATCAATCAGTTGAACTGCTGAGCCGTGAATTAGTTTATGTTTTTGTCTAACCCACGTGGCTTTACCCAAAGACCCCAAGGAGTAATGATACCTGCAGTCATGATAGCCTCAAATTAATACAATCGCAATTATACTGAGCATTTACATTACGAGACCTCCATTTGCCAAGTAGCAAGATATAGTAATAGGTTTATAACCCTTTTATCTGGCACCAAATCTGACGCCTTTATTATACAAGGGGGATCATGTTGGCAATAACCACAACACAAGCAGTCAAAAATGCAAACAAAAAGAGACAACTCTGATGATGATGATATTGATATTGGCACTGTCCTTGAATTTGATTGGTCCACACCCGAGACGGCTTTTCTTAGAGCCCTTTAGTCTCCATTGGTGTTGGACCAGAAGACGCCAAAAGGCGTACAACTCAAAAACAGCGCACCATCAGAGTTATTGAGGGCTCGGGGTGAGCATTTACATTATGAGACCTCGTTTGACAGTAGCAAGATATAGTAATAGGTTTATAACCATTTTATCTGGCACCAAAATTGACACATTTATTACTATATCTTGCTACTGACAAAGGAGGTCTCATAATGTAAATGCTCACCCCGAGCCCTCAATAACTCTGATAGTGCGCTGTTTTTGAGTTGTACGCCTTTTGGCTTCATCTGGTCCAACACCAGTGTGAGACTAAGGGCTCTAAGAAAAGCCGTCTCTGGTGTGGACCAATCAAATTCGAGGACAGTGCCAATATTATTATTATCAGAGTTGTCTCTTTTTGTTTGCATTTTTAACTGCTTGTGTTGTGGTTATTGCAAACATGATCCCCTTGTATAAAGGTTTCAGTGTTGGTGCCAGTTAAAAGGGTAAAACCTATTACTATATCTTGTTACTGGCAAAGGAGGTCTCATAATGTAGATGCTCACCCCAAGCCCTCAATACTCTGATGGTGCGCTGTTTTTGAGTTGTACGCCTTTTGGCGTCTTCTGGTCCAACACCAATGTGTGAGACTAAGGGCTCTAAGAAAAGCCATCTCGGGTGTGGACCAATCAAATTCAAGGACAGTGCATATTATTATCATTATCAGAGTTGTCTATTTTTGTTTGCATTTTTAACTGCTTGTGTTGTGGTTATTATTGCAAACACGATCCCCCTTGTATAATAAAGGTGTCAGTTTTGGTGACGGATAAAAAGGTCAAAAACATATTAGTAATGCTGAGAATGATCAGGATATTAGGTGATCACGTAGGAGGAGGAGAGGTGTGTTGTTGGGTTGTATCGCTTAAGTTTACAATGTTGTGTCGTCAAAGCCACCACCACCCGACAAAGCCAGCTAAGTATATTTTTGCACCTGAAGACGGTTGCTAGTGTTGAAACGTCGTGATATGTTTTTATTTATTGTTTTTATATCTACGTGATGACTTTACCAACAAGGGTTTTGCCACCAAGTACTAAGTCATGTTTTGCAGAGGGGTCAAATACATATTTCCCTCATTAAAATGCAAATCAATTTATAAGATTTTTGACATGCGTTTTTCTGGATTTTTTTGTTGTTAGTCTCTCACTGTTCAAATAAACCTACCATTAAAATTATAGACTGATCATTTCTTTGTCAGTGGGCAAACGTACAAAATCAGCAGGGGATCAAATACTTTTTTCCCTCACTGTACACTACACATTACACTACATTATACACTACTATACACTACTACACTACTATACACTACTACACTATAAACTACACTATACACTACTACTATACACTACTACACTATATACTACAGTATACACTACATTATACACTACACTATACACTACTACACTATTATACACTACTACACTATACACTACACTATACACTACTACACTATATACTACACTATATACTACACTATACACTACACTATACACTACACTATACACTACTACACTATATACTACACTATATACTACACTATACACTACACTATACACTACACTACTATACACTACTACACTACTATACACTACTATACACTACTACACTATACACTACACTATACACTATATACTACTGCACTGCTATACACTACACTATACACTACACTATACACTACACTATACACTACTACACTACTACACTACTATACACTATATACTACACTATACACTACACTATACACTAGTATACACTACTACACTACTATACACTACTACACTATACACTACACTATACACTACACTATACACTACTATACACTACTACACTACTATACACTACTACACTACTATACACTACTACACTATATACTACACTATATACTACACTATACACTACAATATATACTACTACACTACTATACACTACTACACTATATACTACACTATACACTACACTATACACTACTACACTACTATACACTACTACACTATACACTACACTATACACTACTACACTACTATACACTACTACACTACTATACACTATTACACTATACACTACTACACTATATACTGCACTATATACAACACTATACACTACACTATACACTACTACACTACTATACACTACTACACTACTATACACTACTACACTATACACTACACTATACACTACTACACTACTATACACTACTACACTACTATACTACTATACACTTCACTATAATTGTAAATGTGTGCAGTGGGTTTACTCTCCAACACTCCCTAACCGGTTCGTGCTGAACCGGTTACTGCATCGGCATCCACGTTTTGTTGACGTGACGCAAACCTCCTTCACAGGTTGTGTACTGGCGCTGGGTGGTGGCGGGCCTAACGACACACGACACACAATTTATACATCAGGCGAAATCTCACGAAATTCCGTGTGTATTCATTTTAATAGTTAAAAAATATATATGTTTATATATATGTAGACTAAGGCCGTAGGCATGGAGTAAACATTGATCTAAATTTGAAAACGAATTTCCTGCTATTTCCTTTGCTTAAATATATATATTTTTTACTAACACATAAGATGGACTTTTTATTTATGTTTTACAATAATGTCTAAGGGTGTATTGTATCACATTGCTCTGGTTTAAAAACAAAAAAATATATATATTTTGTATTACTTTTTCTCGTTTCATTGCATGTAATGACAGACATTAGGGGATTCAAAAACTACGACCGTAACCGCGATCATAGAGGCACGAATATATTTTACAGCAATATATTGGGGAGCGACACGTGGTGAGAAATCCGATGATCTTCCAAGCTCTTTGTCGCTGGCCCGCCCACTCGTTTCGCTGGCGTCGCCAGACGTCGTTTCACGGATTGTACCACAACCCAGGGCGATAAACAGCGGGTGGGTGGAGATAGAGCTAGAGACAAGGAAACCACGCGGGGTTGTTGCAGTGTGAACGGGGTGCGTTGGGCGATGAGTTTATAAACAAGCGGTGGAGATCGGCGCTGGTCACGGTTGTGCCCGGGAAAAGGTTTGCGGTGTGGGTGTCAGCGCGCTGGCAGATCGAGAGGTAGACACGCACACAGACAGAGAGAGAGACACACACAACAGACACAGCGAGAGAGACGCACACACAGAGAGAGACACAGACACAGCGAGAGAGACACACTAAAAGAGAGAGACACACACACACATCAGACACAGCGAGAGAGACACACACAGAGAGAGAGACACAGACACTCATACACAGCGAGAGAGACACACTAAGAGAGAGAGACACACACACACATCAGACACAGCGAGAGAGACACACACAGAGAGACACACACACAGACACAGCGAGAGAGACACATACAGAGACACACACACACAGACACAGCGAGAGAGACACACACAGAGAGACACAGACACACAGATACAGCGAGAGAGACACACACAGAGAGACACAGACACTCATACACAGCGAGAGAGACACACACACAGAGAGACACAGACACGCACACACAGAGAGACTGACACAGACACACAGAGACACAGACACACAGAGACACAGACACTCATACAGAGAGACACATACACACAGACACCGCGGGAGAGACACACACAGAGACACAGCTGCTACTACAGCTGCTGTCACTGCTACTGCTGCTACTACTGCTGCTGCTACTGCTACTACACCTGCTGTCATTGCTACTACTACTGCTGCTACTACTGTTACTACTACTGTTACTACTACTGCTGCTACTACTGTTACTACTACTGTTACTACTACTGCTGCTACTACTGCTGCTGCTACTGCTGCTACTACAGCTGCTGTCACTGCTACTACTGCTACTACAGCTGTTACTACTACTACAACTGCTACTACTACTACAGCTGCTACTACAACTGCTGTCACTGCTACCACTACTACTACTACAGCTTCCACTGCTACTACTACTACAGCTGTCACTGCTACTACAGCTGCTACTACTGTCACTGCTGCTACTACTGTTGCTACTACTGCTGCTACTGTCACTGCTGCTACTACTGTTGCTACTACTGCTGCTACTACTACTGCTGCTACTGCTACTACTACTGCTGCTACTACTGCTGTCACTGCTACTACTGCTACTACTACTACTGCTGTCACTGCTGCTACAACTGCTACTACAGCTGCTACTAGTACTACAGCTGTTGTCACTGCTGCTATAGCTGCAACTACTACTACTGCTGCTACTACTACTACAGCTGCTACTAGTACTACAGCTGTTGTCACTGCTGCTACAGCTGCAACTACTACTACTGCTGCTACTACTACTGCTACTACTACAGCTGCTACTACTACTATAGCTGCTACTACTACTGCTACTACAGCTGCTACTACTACTACAGCTGCTATTACTGCTGTTACTGCTGCTACAGCTGTTGTCACTGCTGCTCCAGCTGCTACTACAGCTGCTACTACTACTACAGCTGCTACTAGTACTACAGCTGTTGTCACTGCTGCTACAGCTGTTGTCACTGCTGCTACAGCTGCTACTACTACTACAGCTGCTACTACTACAGCTGCTACTACTACTACAGCTGTTACTGCTACTACTACAGCTGTTACTGCTACTACTACAGCTGTTACTGCTACTGCTGTTGTCACTGCTGCTACTACTACAGCTGTTGTTACTGCTGCTACAGCTGTTACTGCTACTACTACAGCTGCTACTACTACTGCTGCTGCTGCTACTACAGCTGTTACTGCTACTGCTGTTGTCACTGCTACTACTACTACAGCTGCTGCTACTACTACTACTACTACAGCTGCTACTACTACTACTGCTGCTACTACTACTACTACAGCTGCTACTACTACTACTGCTGCTGCTACTACTACAGCTGTTGTCACTGCTGCTGTTGTTACTGCTGCTACAGCTGTTACTGCGACTGCTACAGCTGCTACTACTACTACTACAGCTAATACTACGACAGCTGTTGTCACTGCTGCTGTTGTTACTGCTGCTACAGCTGTTACTGCTACTGCTGTTGTCACTGCTGCTGTTGTTACTGCTGCTACAGCTGTTGCTGCGACTGCTGCAACAGCTGTTACTACTACTACTGCTGCTACTACTACAGCTGTTGTCACTGCTGCTGTTGTTACTGCTGCTACAGCTGTTACTGCGACTACTACAGCTGCTACTACTACAGCTGCTACTACTACTGCTGCTGCTACTACTACAGCTGTTGTCACTGCTGCTGTTGTTACTGCTGCTATAGCTGTTCCTGCGACTACTACAGCTGCTACTACTACAGCTGCTACTACTACTACAGCTACTACTACTACAGCTGCTACTACTACAGCTGTTGTCACTGCTGCTGTTGTTACTGCTGCTACAGCTGCTACTACTACTACTGCTGCTACTACTACAGCTGTTGTCACTGCTGCTGTTGTTACTGCTACTACAGCTGTTGCTGCGACTGCTGCAAATGCCCGCGGAGTATCTGGGGACTGTCCAACCGCGCCTCCAGCTGCTGCTACCGCTGCTGCTGCCAATGAAGACTGCGGCGCCTGCAGCAGCAGCAGCAGGATCAGCAGCAGGAGCAGTAGCAGCAGTAGCAGCAGTAGCGCTACGTGAGTAACGAGGGTCGACATGGCGTGGCCGGCGACACTCGCAGGTGAGTGGTGAGTGTGTCCGGTGAGTGGTGAGTGTGAATGGTGAGTGGTGAGTGTGAATGGTGAGTGTGAATGGTGAGTGGTGAGTGTGAATGGTGAGTGGTGAGTGTGAATGGTGAGTGGTGAGTGTGTCCGGTGAGTGGTGAGTGTGAATGGTGAGTGGTGAGTGTGAATGGTGAGTGGTGAGTGTGAATGGTGAGTGGTGAGTGTGTCCGGTGAGTGGTGAGTGTGAATGGTGAGTGGTGAGTGTGAATGGTGAGTGGTGAGTGTGAATGGTGAGTGGTGAGTGTGAGTGGTGAGTGTGAATGGTGAGTGGTGAGTGTGAATGGTGAGTGGTGAGTGTGAATGGTGAGTGGTGAGTGGTGAGTGTGAATGGTGAGTGTGAGTGGTGAGTGTGAATGGTGAGTGGTGAGTGTGAATGGTGAGTGGTGAGTGTGAGTGGTGAGTGTGAATGGTGAGTGGTGAGTGTGAATGGTGAGTGGTGAGTGTGAATGGTGAGTGGTGAGTGTGAATGGTGAGTGGTGCGTGTGAATGGTGAGTGGTGAGTGGTGAGTGTGAATGGTGAGTGGTGAGTGTGAATGGTGAGTGGTGAGTGTGAATGGTGAGTGGTGAGTGGTGAGTGTGAATGGTGAGTGGTGAGTGTGAATGGTGAGTGTGTCCGGTGAGTGGTGAGTGTGAATGGTGAGTGGTGAGTGTGAATTGTGAGTGGTGAGTGTGAATGGTGAGTGGTGAGTGTGAATGGTGAGTGGTGAGTGTGAATGGTGAGTGGTGAGTGTGAATGGTGAGTGGTGAGTGTGAATGGTGAGTGTGAATGGTGAGTGGTGAGTGTGAATGGTGAGTGGTGAGTGTGAATGGTGAGTGGTGAGTGTGTCCGGTGAGTGGTGAGTGTGAATGGTGAGTGGTGAGTGTGAATGGTGAGTGGTGAGTGTGAATGGTGAGTGGTGAGTGTGAATGGTGAGTGGTGAGTGTGAATGGTGAGTGGTGAGTGTGAATGGTGAGTGGTGAGTGTGAATGGTGAGTGGTGAGTGTGAATGGTGAGTGGTGAGTGTGAATGGTGAGTGGTGAGTGGTGAGTGTGAATGGTGAGTGGTGAGTGTGAATGGTGAGTGGTGAGTGTGAATGGTGAGTGGTGAGTGTGAATGGTGAGTGGTGAGTGTGAATGGTGAGTGGTGAGTGGTGAGTGTGAATGGTGAGTGGTGAGTGTGAATGGTGAGTGGTGAGTGTGAATGGTGAGTGGTGAGTGTGAATGGTGAGTGGTGAGTGGTGAGTGTGAATGGTGAGTGGTGAGTGTGAATGGTGAGTGGTGAGTGTGAATGGTGAGTGGTGAGTGTGAATGGTGAGTGATGAGTGTGAATCGTGAGTGGTGAGTGTGTCCGGTGAGTGGTGAGTGTGACTGGTGAGTGGTGAGTGTGAATGGTGAGTGGTGAGTGGTGAGTGTGAATGGTGAGTGTGAATGGTGAGTGGTGAGTGTGAATGGTGAGTGGTGAGTGTGAATGGTGAGTGTGAATGGTGAGTGTGAATGGTGAGTGGTGAGTGTGAATGGTGAGTGGTGAGTGTGAATGGTGAGTGGTGAGTGTGAATGGTGAGTGGTGAGTGTGAATGGTGAGTGTGAATGGTGAGTGTGAATGGTGAGTGGTGAGTGTGAATGGTGAGTGGTGAGTGTGAATGGTGAGTGGTGAGTGTGTCTAAACTACAAATAATCCGCAGGCTTAATCAGGGTGCGGGATCGAACCCACGACCTCCTGTGTACCAGGCGAGGTAGTCAACATCTCTCAGTGTCTGGGATTGAACCCACGACCTCCTGTGTACCAGGCGAGGTAGTCAACATCTCTCAGTGTCTGGGATTTAACTCACGACCTCCTGTGCACCAGGCGAGGTAGTCAACATCTCTCAGTGTCTGGGATTGAACCCACGACCTCCTGTGTAAGGCGAGGTAGTCAACATCTCTCAGTGTCTGGGATTTAACTCACGACCTCCTGTGTACCAGGCGAGGTAGTCAACATCTCTCAGTGTCTGGGATTTAACTCACGACCTCCTGTGTACCAGGCGAGGTAGTCAACATCTCTCAGTGTCTGGGATTGAACCCACGACCTCCTGTGTACCAGGCGAGGTAGTCAACATCTCTCAGTGTCTGGGATTGAACCCACGACCTCCTGTGTACCAGGCGAGGTAGTCAACATCTCTCAGTGTCTGGGATTTAACTCACGACCTCCTGTGTACCAGGCGAGGTAGTCAACATCTCTCAGTGTCTGGGATTGAACCCACGACCTCCTGTGTACCAGGCGAGGTAGTCAACATCTCTCAGTCTCTGGGATTGAACCCACGACCTCCTGTGTACCGGGCGAGGTAGTCAACATCTCCCAGTATCTGGGATTGACCCACGACCTCCTGTGTACCAGGCGAGGTAGTCAACATCTCTCAGTGTCTGGGATTGAACCCACGACCTCCTGTGTACCAGGCGAGGTAGTCAACATCTCTCAGTGTTTGGGATTGAACCCACGACCTCCTGTGTACCAGGCGAGGTAGTCAACATCTCTCAGTGTCTGGGATTGAACCCACGACCTTCTGTGTACCAGGTGAGGTAGTCAACATCTCCCAGGGTCTGGGATTGAACCCACGACCTCCTGCATACCAGGCGAGGTAGTCAACACCTCTCAGTGTCTGGAATTGAACCCACGACCTCCTGTGTACCAGGCGATGTAGTCAACATCTCTCAGTGTCTAGGATTGAACCCACGACCTCCTGTTTACCAGGCGAGGTAGTCAACATCCCTCAGTGTCTGCGATTGAACTCACGACCTCCTGTGTACCAGGCGAGGTAGTCAACATCTCTCAGTGTCTGGGATTGAACCCACGACCTCCTGTGTACCGGGCGAGGTAGTCAACATCTCCCAGTGTCTGGGATTGAACCCACGACCTCCTGTGTGCCAGGCGAGGTGGTCAACATCTCTCAGTGTCTGGGATTTTCCCACGACCTCCTGTGTACCAGGCGAGGTGGTCAACATCTCATAGCCACCGTGATGATGATGAGAGAGAGAGAGAGACGCAGACATCACTTAGGGGCTGCCCATAAATGACGTCACACACCTAGGGGGGTGGAGGGGGATCAGACATTTGTGACGTAGTGTGACGAGGGTGGGGAACGGAGTGAGTTTGAGAAATGTGACGTCACTTCAAAAAGCGGAACTTTAAATAAATATAAACAATTGAATTGTCATAACAACACTATTTTTTTGTGAATTTTCATCATTAACTATTTTATTATTTACATTTGCTAAAGTCACCTTTTATTTATTCCTTGAAGGAACATTTTACTTCTCCATGGGATAATGGAGAAGCATGAATTTGCTGACTTTTTTTTAAATAATTGTTTGTTAAACATTTTAATTTTAATGATTCTACCGGGGCTTTTCATTCTGTGGAGTGAATCTGTGATTGTTATAATTGTACTCTCCGTTGTGCGTCGTTCTACTACAAAGTTGCAAGCATTTCTGTTCAATAGTCGTAATTCCTTTTTTTAATAGTTTATAATTATAAGAAAGAGACTTTCAAAAGAATATTCTGACCATCCGCAGTTTTTTTTAGTTAGACGTTCAACATTTGCCGGAGAACTTCACGCTGAATTTCAGCTTTCCAACGCCTCATTCTACAACAAATGTTCTCTCCCACGGCATCAGAGTGCAGAGCCACATTAAGCACGCACTTCAATGACGCCTCTAATCACCGCACACCTGATATGAGTTAAGTGATGACGTCACCCTGCTGCTGCTCTATATAAAAACCGGGAGCAAGTGGAGAGGGCTTTACCGTTCTGGCTAATTGCCCGATGATGCTGGTGATGTATTTACCAGCGAAACGTCACAGTACAACTCAAACTGTAAATGTTGTGGATTCGCTCTTCAACACACACCGGTGGGCTAAAGTATAGTGAACTAAATTTTGATTTAAAGCTTTCGTGACTGCAGTAATTCATATTCTTAGTTTTTTCGGTAAAGTCACGTTGAAGAGAAACAACAAAATAATAATATATATTATATTAATAATAATTAATATAATATATATTGTATTATTAATAATATATATTATTATTTTGTTGTTTCTCTTCAACGTGACTTTACCGAAAAAACTAAGAATATAAGAGAAACAACAAAATAATAATATATATTATTATTTTGTTGTTTCTCTTCAACGTGACTTTACCGAAAAAACTAAGAATATATAGTGAACTAATTTGTCTTTTTGTCAACGTGACACTTTTTTGTTGTTGCTGATTGGCCGTGTCGGGTGGTGGAGGGTTACGACACATTTATAAATAAACGCGATCTAACCCAAAAAAAAACCTTTATTATGAATAATATCTAACCCAAAAACCTTTATAAAAACCTTTATAATATCTAACCCAAAAACCTTTATTATGAATAATATCTAACCCAAAAACCTTTATAAAAACCTTTAGAATATCTAACCCAAAAACCTTTATTATGAATAACATCTAACCCAAAAACCTTTATAAAAACCTTTATAATATCTAACCCAAAAACCTTTATTATGAATAATATCTAACCCAAAAACCTTTATAAAAACCTTTATAATATCTAACCCAAAAACCTTTATTATGAATAATATTGGTCGCGAAAGCCTGCTACGTGTTAAACTACAATGACGTGTTTTATTTTCAAAATGCAAACGTGGTTTTGGGGGGCGGGGGGTGGGGCGCATGTGACGAGGGGAGAATGGCTGTGGGGTCAAAAAATCGTCCCACAATCGCGTGACGTCATTTATGGACGGCCCCATTACACAGCAGCAGGCAGGCATCGACAGGGTCGGGTTCCAACCCAGGGGCTCCTGTACACCGGGCGTAGAAAAAAACAGAGAGAGAGAGATTCAGAGAGAGAGATTCAGAGAGAGATTCAGAGAGAGATTCAGAGAGAGGGTAGGGAGAGAGGGGGTAGAGAGAGTAGGGAGAGAGGGTAGAGAGAGAGGGTAGAGAGAGAGAGAGAGGGG